TAGATTAGATTTAGATTTTATTATTTTGATTGCCGATTGAAAACATAAAAATAATCTTACCAGTTGCTGCCGCTGCCTCGGTTCCAGTTTCATCAACTATGATTTTAGCTTTCTGTATTGCAGCAGAAACATATACAGGGTCCGAATTTAATAAAATTCCTTCGAAATCATCTGATCGTGGATCGAACATTTTGGTTACATTCAGCTATAATGACAAGTAGCAATTAGTATCGGTGATGAAAATCATGTGGTACCATAATATGGTATACAGTAACTAATGCTTTCAAAATATAATATAAATAAATAGTCGTGATATGAAAGGCTATGTTATCTTAAACAAAAAAGATAGTAGGCACTTTTTTCAGGTTCGATACTTTGAAAGAGCCTCGAGACAAAGTTGATATTACTATGACATTGAAAATGTTGTTTAACATTAAACTCATGAAATTTATGATTTGATATCAATACAGTTTCAAGGAGACGATATTATTCTTCTTCTTGTCTATGTCCTTGTCTAAGTCAATCGGAGCGGCCCAACATAAATTCAAATTGTTAAGTTTCAAGTTCTGGCGTTTCGGTGACGTCAGTTCTTATTTAAGATCTCGGGATTAGCAAATTATAAGCATTTGTTATAGGAGTGATTAAGATACAAAGGAAGTAAACAAGAGAAAAATGTCTATATAGTACAGGGCGGTTATATTTGCAACTAGATGTATGTAACAACTCTTAGTTTCTTATTTCAAATTATTTTCATGAAATACTCTTATTTAGTGATATTTATCCCGAGAGTCGATATGTCACGTATACTTATATATAGTGCATTAAATTCTAGTACTGATATTCCTTTTTACATTAGTCTTCCCCTTTTCACACTTTTTATAACGAAATTTTCGAATACTCTTTAGATTATTAGAATTACTAACCTTCTGGGAAAGTTCTGCTATATCAATGTTCGTTTCTATATCCATCTTAGGTAGGAAACATTTGACTTTCTCTTGCCTAAGTGATTTAATGCTATTAGATAATTCATCTGAATTTCGTAATTTATCTAACATCTGGAGAAGGCCATCTTTTTTCTTTGGTAACAAGATTACTAAACTAGAATTGCCGCCTTTGTAGAACAATTCTAAGATCTGAAACGGGATAATTATATTTTTATCAAGATGGAACAAGGATATTCATTAATTTATAATTTTTTTCCCCATTTGGCTGTATACGTATAACTGTTCAACAGAGCGATAAATAATTTATATTGCCAGCGAAGTCATTAATGTTTTTATTTTATTTTTATTGCTTTTTTTTAAGTTTCTTTAAGTTAAAGTTTTAAGTTTATTTTTAAGTTTCTTCTTCTTCTTTCAAGTTCGCACAGGTTCTCGAGTCTGCGTTAACTTGCGTTCGACTTGTTTCGCAACGATGAGTGAGAGAATTAGGTTTTATGCCAATTTTGTTTTTACTATATCTCAAAATTCTTTTTTTGAGCAACATTTCTTGTGCAATTTTTTTACAAAGCAACTTAAAGAAGTTGTTGTTGACTCATACCTGTGCATCGAGAATCTCGTTTTCTCCATAATTAAAGTTGTTTTCTTGATACATAGTCTTTATGGACTTAGTTTTGTTTGGTGTGATGTAGAAGTCTCTGTCGCGAGTGTTATTAGGATTGAACTGATTTTGCCAATTTCCCTGAAAAATTTTGTACATATTTCATTAAAAAGGTGATGTAAAAGATGTATTAACTACAATGTTAGCGGCTATGGCTTGATGGGCGTAGCTATTAAAGTCTACCTGGTCGTGACTGACAGAAAATTATTGATTGCAAATAAGTAGTATCTCAATTGAAGTAAGACATGCTATTTCTTCTTCTTCCTTGTCTTTATCACTCTTAACAGATGGTCGTGGTCATTACTTTACATGTTGATGGCAGGCTTCATAGCGAACTATAAACGCAGATGATGGGAGTTCTTCCCAGAATACGCGGCTATACTTATACAATATGGTTACGTATTCCATAGTACCTGTCAGTAAATCTGTATTATCTTTTTGGTCTTCTATGTGTGTGGTTTGTAAACGAGGGACTGGGATTACATCAAACAATTCCTCGTGGCATTCTCCATATGATACAAATTACAGTGAGAGCTCTCTACTTGAGGTTTGATAATAATAATAAAAAAATTAAATCTAAGAAAATAGTAACTCACCAGGAAATACATGCCGTTAACTAGAACCAATCTAGTGTCATCGCTGAACAAATCTTCGCTGACAAGATTTTGAATTAAGTTATTAGTTTTGTTTGCGACCTGGAAATGTGTTAGGTATAAAAAGTATATTAATTAACGAAATATCGTAAACTCCTTAATGATGAAAATCGTGGTAAGAGTTCTTTAAATAATAGTGGTTTAAAGTAAATTTAAAAAAAAATCAGCACATCATTTATAATAGACATCTTCAGTAAAAAATCTATAGTGAAACTTTTATACAATTTTACGTAAAATAGTGCATGTGTTTGTAATTCCACTCGCACTAAAGGGGGTCTAATATCTGTTTCCTATGATCACAGTGATGTAATGTATATTTTATTTATGAGAACTATCAACATGACAACTATCATAAAATTAATCAATAACTTCCATAAAGAAATTTAAATTTAATTACCCATCCGTTTATTGTGTCTGCAGCTTCTTTCGCATATTTAAAATCAATATTTTCTCCTTCTGAGTCAAAGTAAGTTACAGCGTCGTTCTTAAACTGGTCCGTAAAAGGATAATTTATGTTGCCGTAGCATTTAACTGCCACCGTCAAAAGAACTGAGCTTTGAGACCGATAATTCGTAAGCAAAGCGGGGAAAGCTTCCTTGATCTGCGAAAAAAATATTTGGTATTGATAAATTACGTTATTATTATTAGTCTTCAAGCTCTCGGTATTAATTATATATTAAAAGTAATCGAGTCATCGTATTCCCATTTTGCTGAAGTTCTTNATGTTGCCGTAGCATTTAACTGCCACCGTCAAAAGAACTGAGCTTTGAGACCGATAATTCGTAAGCAAAGCGGGGAAAGCTTCCTTGATCTGCGAAAAAAATATTTGGTATTGATAAATTACGTTATTATTATTAGTCTTCAAGCTCTCGGTATTAATTATATATTAAAAGTAATCGAGTCATCGTATTCCCATTTTGCTGAAGTTCTTCTGCCGATGCCACAAACTGTTGATTGAGAATGATAGTACCTGCCTTTACCTGCTCATACTAGGGTGTGCATTATCTAATAATACCTACATATTCTATAATTGCAACAAAAATTGTGAAGATATTCACGCATTAGGGCCCTTGACTTAGAAGACGTCCGTAAAAACTACTAATCAGCTTCTTAGAAAAACAAATAAATTTAATGCAAAATGTTTTGAACAATATGAAATGTACTTTGTACCTGATCCTTATTGTCGAGGTTTATAAACTTTAATAGTTGATCTAAAGTTTCTCCAACGGCGTATAGTGCTAGTTGACCGTAAGGAATGAGTACAGATACGGGTGATGTAACGAAACTTTGTCCTGGATTCATTTTGTATAATTCCTAGAAGAAAAAAATATGAATATCAAAGACAATATACCAACATTTTTTACCTTTTCAATATGTTTCAAATGTAATAAAAATTACATTATATGAGAGTATAGTAGATATTAATATTTTAAATAAATAGCTTTTTAGAGTGCCTGCAAAATTTCAGAATTTAAATACAGAAATATTATTTGGTTTAAGCGAGATTTTATCTGTTTTTTTTTTCCTTTCTTTCAAAACTAGTCTGATTTTCTGTCAGTGGTCATGGTCACTAGTACCATCAGCAATGCCAGGGGCACCAATCACTTTTTGTCATTGAGGACTGCAAAAAATGTTTGTGTAAATGCACTGTAGATTAAGATATTAGTTTCAGAAAATGTGGATGAACTGTACTCTATGCTCAGTTTCGGGACCATTGCTTTGGTACCGTGAGCGCTAGCTTATTTGTTTAACTTCCAGAAATGATTTTTCAGTAGCAACGTTTGTGATTCCTTCCCTGACTATCAAGTCCGCTTCATTACATACAATACAGTTTTTATTAAATTAAGTAATATTACCCAAAGAAACTGGCCAACTAATGCCATGTTTCCTCTGCGGAGTTTTTCCAAGGATTGGTCAACATTTCCCGATGAATTGGTAGTAGCTGCAAATCAAATACACGTTTATTCAATGCAACCGTCGCACTTCGAATAAGCTTTTCATACTTTAAATTGTTTTATAGTTATGTATTAAACTAACACACTGTAAAAGTAATAAATGTTATTTGCAATAGAATTTTTTTTCCTTTGTCTCAGTATTTATGGCAAGACTAGGCATACACACATATCCCAATATATAACAAGGCAGTAAATAAATTAAACATAGTATATATACACAAAACTACACATACCATACAAAGTATAAGTATTATCAATATGGGATGATTACGAACTCCCTTATCCGTATTCACACAAATACACAGCCAGATATAAATCCGCACACATACATATTCACACAAAAGATTAATATCAATAGAGTACTTGTAAATTTTTTCTTAAATAATTAGGAAATCATTTCTTTGACGGTAATTCAACGTTAATCTAGGCAAATGTTTTTAAAAGGAGTAGCACTGCAATACATAATATTCTTATTTAATGAAAACGTCATTTTGTTTATATTATCACAACGATACAAATAAATTCATATTAATAGGTTCGGGAAAAAGTAATTTCGCTTGTAATAAAATCTCTTTGGCTATACTATTTGTATCTGGCTGGTGTTGGTGTCATTAAGATAGATATGTTTAATAAATGTCAGAACGACTGATGCTTTAATGTCCGGGTTGGTTGAAAGGCTGTATTGAAAGCTTAAACGTTTCATATTACAATCTGTACATATTATTATATTAAAATAAATATGAATGTTTGTCCTCTATGCATTCCCGAACCGTTGATCCAATTGTGATGAAACTTACGTACGTACGTAACGTACACTTGTGGTTGGGTCTCCATGGAAGGTTTTGTTCATAGTACTATAAATGTAAGCGCGTCAATAGTTTTAAAGTTTTTTTTCTAGTTTACTAGTATTGTATATTTTCTAAACTGCAATCTACGTCTGAAAATACTCACGGCACTGGTTTGGTTTTACGCATTTTCCTGTATTCTCGTTTAGGTAAAATCCTTCTTTGCAATCGCAAGCATTGTCATAGCAAACTGCAGCACATGCTCTTGGCTTTTTTCCGATATCGCCACACCGTTTGCTACAGTGCAAGCCGCAGCCGGAACGAGCGTTGTTGTCTCCACCGCAGGATGCTTGAAAATTCATAATAGGAGATTCAATAAGACAATCCGCGGTAAATTGGCCTTTATTTTACTAAGTTTATGCATCCACCCGATGTCCGCGGTCACAAAACTCCATACAAACCAAGAAATACCCACTGTGAGATATAAGATTTAATTTTGATTATGGTATCCATGCGTGTCAGCTGTAATTGCTAAGCTTTGAATTGACTCTTTAGTTTGAAAATATCATAAAAATTAGACAGCTGAGTCATAAAGTCTTGACGTATTATTAAATCTACGATACGACGTTGGCTAACCATGTCCGACAATAACATAGAAATTGGCTTCAAAAAAAAGTAAGAATGTCCTATCCGAAGCCTGTCTACTTTTTTTATTTATTTTTTATTGTATAGTTGGGTGGACGAGCTCACAGCCCACCTGATGTTAAGTGGTTACTGGAGCCCATAGACATCTACAACGTAAATGCGCCACCCACCTCGAGATATAAGCTCTAAGGTCTAAATGGAGACCAGTCATAATAACATACATACGAGAGGAATAAGAGAATAGAAAAACAGTGAGGATGAACAGTTCTAAATAAATTATGAAATATTTACTAATAACTGTAAGTACTCACGACAGTCGGTTTTTGGTATACACGTTCCATTATCAGCTCTGACGTAGTTTTCTTTACACAAGCACCCTTTGATGCAATTCTTGGGATCTATTCTTGGGCAAGCAACGGGTTTCCCTATTTCCGAACAATTCTTCGGTTGGCAGTACCCTTGTATACAATCATTGTAGACTTCATCATTACCACAAGTAGGAGCTAAGAAAAAAAAAACATTATATCTTTAGTTTTGTTTCGTGACTTAAGTTGTGAACGTGATTAGATTAATATTTTGTTATTTCTAGTATTGCGTTGTTAGTATTTCTGGGTGTAGCGAGAAACAAGGGGTATAGAGAAAAATGAAGTAATATTTATCACGTTTCTACAATAAAAAATCGGTTACCAATAAATTTGTGAATTTGCGTTTTTTGTCTTTTACAGAAAATTATACAGAAATAAATTTCCGACAAATACAATACTGAAAATTTATAGTTATTTGTTTTAAAATTAGTCAGTCTAGTAACAGAAGATGTAGAAGTATTATAAGATCTAGAAGATCACTTTAAATTTTATAAGTTTAAATTTATTTTTATAAATCTTTACTTCTTACACAAATTTCTAGTAATATAAATCCTATACATTCGTTATTAACAGATGTGTATATAAATAATAATACACTTCAGTTTCATACATATTATGTTTATGTACACTATTAAATATTGAGGTAAATATTAAATATTGAGCTATAGTTATATAGTTAGGTATATAGTCGAGGTTAAATATTGAGGTCTACTTCATTTCTTTCTAATTCATTTATTCTGTAAACTAGTATAAACTAAATAAGATAGTATTTTGCGGTACGCAGCGGCTTGGCTCTGCCCCTGGCATTGCCGAAGTCCATGGGCGACAGTAACCACTCACCTTCAGGTGGGCCGTATGACCGTCTCTATAATTTTCTTAGTTTTGAATTTATTTCTTTTCCCCATCGTAATCTGCTCCTCTTTCTTTTCGTTTTATCTTATGGCCAATGTCCATTTCTATTTACGCTTTTATATAATTATTGTATTTTCGCTATTTTTCCTTTTTTTTTTCAATTTTGATGTGATTGTTTTCCGCGTACAGCGAGCAAAGCTAAATATGACCAGTCTCCACTGTTGTGAGAGTCAACGTTTGGTAAATATTTATATGCAAAAACAGTAACGACACAGCTTTTTCTTAAAAAAACATTCATTCCATTGTTTTGTAATGAAAGTACTTAAAAAAACTTCATTAAATAAACATTCGGTATAAATTAAATTTTTCCGATATTGACCACAAAAATACAATTGTACTCAATAAATTATCCAAACTTACTGCAGTCTTCGGGTAAAACACATTTATTAATGTTATCATCGTAATAATATCCGTCTTTACAATCGCAGCCGTCTTCGTAGCAAACAGCAGCACAACCTTGACTTTCTTTGCCGATATTAGAACAATGTCTGTTACAATTTACTCCACATCCAGCAACAGCGTTCGGATCCCCATTGCATGAGTCTAATAAATAAAATGTAAAAGAAATTAATCGTTGAATTTGAATACAAATGCATTATTCATTTATATGACCAGATAGTTAATCCATTATGTTATAATATTTTCTGACTTTGCACCTTTTTTTTTTGGACCAGAAGCCGCACCTCCTATTAGGTCCCCGCGCCTAGGGGGCGCGCGGGGTATCTGGAACTGGTCCGCGACTGCGAGACCACGGGCCCAAGAAAGTTTTCAGGGCCCTACCCACTAAATGAGTCCCCTGCTCCCTTCGCCCAAGCGTCCGATCCCTCCGAGGACAGATCCCCTCCGAGGACAGAACCCCGATGAGGTAAGGGAGTTACCGCGGTCAACACTACAACCAGACGGCGCAGCTCACCCCAAGGACGCCCGGCCGACGGAATCTTCAAGGCGAATCGAAGGCTCTGAAACGTCGGCCGTCTCGGTACGGCAGCCCGTTAGGTCGCCCAGACACTGCCGCTGGTATCCTGGAATACCCCGCTGGACCAGAACCAGCTTGCCGGGTCGGGGCGCGATACACCGCCAACCGGTCGCTCTATTATTCATACTCCTTGGCGGCGCGCTAGAGTGCTGGTAGCGCGCCGCGCGGCCTCTACCCCCTTAGGTCGCCCCTTGACCTTCTCCGGGGGTTAGCTATACACCAGAGCAGACCTACTTTTTCTTTAATCAGGCACTATGGCATTCATCAACAGTGCATTCTTTTTGAGAAAATTTTTTGGGCTTTAGAGTGAAATTGAGTGGAGTTCACTCTAAACTGCGCTCCCACAGCCCTATTACTTTCCAGTAGTAAACAATAATAAATATACTTTATTGGTGTAGCGTGCAACATTCGGTCGCACTCGGGCGTCATCGGATGCGATCGGAGTTCCCGAACGCGCAGGTGTCCCGTGACGTCATACTGCGAGATTCGCGCGCGTTGATTTAAGTTGATTGTAAAACGTATTATAATTTAAGTTTTAATTGGTGCCTTGTAGTGCCTGGCGACTTGTTTACTCTTTTTACTTTTTAATAGAACATTGTACACATATTATATTATTATATTGTTGAATTGGTGTGTTTGACTTTTATGTGTTCGGAGCATAATATCCCGAGAATACAAATAACAAACCACATTGGCATTGACATTGTCTTCGAGCAACGGTATACACTTACNGTGCCTGGCGACTTGTTTACTCTTTTTACTTTTTAATAGAACATTGTACACATATTATATTATTATATTGTTGAATTGGTGTGTTTGACTTTTATGTGTTCGGAGCATAATATCCCGAGAATACAAATAACAAACCACATTGGCATTGACATTGTCTTCGAGCAACGGTATACACTTACTATAAGGCATGCTATTAAATCAAAAAATGTAACTTTCCTTTTTAATAAAATCTATTAATTAATTATGAAATACATAATTTAAAGTATTTAATAATTAATCAATTTAATATTTATTTATGTGAATAACAAGTAACATTATTTGTGATTTAATTTTAGAATAGTTATAAAATGGTCACGGCTTATAAAAATCATAGAGATTACGTACGTACCATCACAATCATCTCGAACACAAACTCCTTCATCGTTCCTCACATATCCTACTTTGCAAATGCATCCTTGAATGCAATCCATGGGATCCACACAACAATCTGGACTATCATAGCAATTGGCGCAATCTGAAGATTCTTCGTTTTCGCCACAAAGTTGTTTTGCTAAATTAAAAAAGTTTGTTATTTGTTTTTTGGATGCGCTATGGTACAGCTTACAGTTTTCATGTATAGAAATTTTAAAATGCCGTTAACTACCGTCCATAAGTTCGAAACATAGGAAATAGCTATATAAAAATTCTAACCCCGAGACCAAATCTTGAATGTTTGGTGTTAAGGAATAAAGTTAGCCCTCGCGGGAAGGTACCACTGTCCTGCCTATGTTTCTTTTATAGAGTAAACGTGTGAATGAGCTCCGGTCCACTTGGTTGTAATTACCTAAGCCCATAGTCAACAACAACGTAAATTCCGCCACTCACCTTGGGACATGAGTGCTGAGTTTTAGTGTTATAATACTACGGGGCCCCATCCTTCAAACCGAAACGAATTTTACTCAAAAACAGTCGTAAGTCGCCACGTTTGGTAACTTGCAAATGATTTCTCTTTCAGGTAGAAAGTAAAGTAGAAAGAAAGTAAAGAAAACTTTAGTTTATGTTTAGTTTACGTATGTATAATATTTTAAAACTGTGCATGGTAGTTTTTTTCCTAATGCTTAAAATAATTTATGGTGCAATTATTATAGCAAAATATTATATATTGCAATATATTATGGCCAGATAGTTAATCCATTATGTTATATTTTTTGGCTTTGCATCATTTTTTTTTTTGGGCCAGGAGCCGCACCTCCTATGATACTATCATATGATCCTATTTGGGAGGGCGCGAGTTCTTCTAAGAAATCAGACCATCTGGCATCTCTGACTTCGGCGATGCGAGACTTTACGTCGCGTTGTAGGGCACGCATTCGAACACGATTATCCTCTTTAGGATACCTATCGTAGGCACGGATCGAGGCGTTCTTAGCTCTAAGGAGTTCTCTAATATCATCGGGCAATTTGAAGCGGTAAAGGAAGCCCTCCGCTACAACTTGCTTCGATGACCCATCTAATGTCGAGGTGATGTGTGACGTTAAGATGTCTATGGCTTCAGCGGTACCCTGAGGAGACGGGGTAGAGTCCGGGCTAAACGAGAGCGATGGTGGATCAGATTCAGCCAGGCTGATGCCCAGCGTATGCCAATCCATCACAGTCCTCGTGACGGGAACGGAATCGGGAGCGCGACCGAGCTTCATAACGACGGGACGGTCGTCTGAATCAAACTCTGAAACTACTTCGATCGAGTGAAAGCGCAGAGTTACGTTTTTTAATAACGCTATGTCGAGTATATCCGGGCGATGCGCGATATTTAGCGGGTAGTGAGTCGGGGTTAGCGGAGCGACGATATCGAAGGCGAGATCATCGACTAACGCGTCAAGCCGCCTGCCATTCGGGGTTGTGGTGTGTGAGTTCCACCTGATGTGTTTACAATTTAGGTCGCCCGCTAGAATGACAGAGCTGCCCATGCCGAGCAGCGCCTCGATATCACTGCTTAGAACGATCTTATCCGGTGGAAGATAAACGGACGCGATAACGATCGGCGCGTGNCAGGCATACAATAATTTATGACAGATTGTCCCAAACACAGATCATTCAGCGCTACACCCATATTTTTCCCTAGTTCATCACTGAATATTTTAATAATGTTTTTAGTAAGCGCAGGTTTCATTATATTGTTTACAACGGGCTTAGAGGTAGAACTAGAAAATTGATTTTGACTATTGGAACAGTCTGGTACTGGAGAACCTAATATAGAGCAGTGGCATTTACAATTAGCATATTGTAATGTCAGAGATTCAAATCGCTCTTTATTATTATTACACAAATCTAGCAGGTTATCCATCACCGATATATGTTCACATGTCTTTTTGAGCATATTCATAATTTTTAGTTACACTGTCCAAATCAGTTTTCAACGAATTTATTTGTGAGGTTAACTTTTCTATTTCTAACTCATGATTGTGATGAACATGTTGTAATTCTTCAAGTGAAGTATTTAGTTTTGTACGCAGTGCATTTCATGTGCCTCAGAAAGTTTGACTTTCAGTTCAGCTGAGAGTTGGAGCGACTCAACATACTGACCGCTGCACTTACTTGAAAGTTTTTTATATGATTGCTCATTGAGTTTTCTTATTTTGGCGCCAATGCATTGTACAATATTTTGCGATATTAAAATGGAGTGGGGTGATAAAGAGAACCGAATCGCTGTGATTACATTACACAAAGTAGGTATGGAGCCAAATGCAATATTTAAAACTCTCCATACGCTTGGTATTAGTAAAATGTTTGTGTACCGGGCTATTAATAGATACAATGAGACCTCCTCTGTTTGTGACAGAAAATGATCTGGCCGTCCACGTAGTGTTCGTACGAAAAAGGTGGTCAAAGCAGTAAGGAAAATAATTTTTGTTTCCCGAGCGCTATGACATGTCCTTCTTCAAACGAGGCTTGTGGAGAGTATTAAGCGGTAGGCAGCGGCTTGGCTCTGCCCTTGGCATTGCTGAAGTCCATGGGCGACGGTAACCACTCACCATCAGGTGGGCCGTATGCTCGTCTGCCTACAAAGGCAATAAAAAAAATAAAAAAATCGAAGAAATCCTGTCCGAAAGCAAAAGATTTTATCTCGAGAGATGAAAATAGCACCTAGAACCATGTCGCGTATTTTAAAAGATGACTTAGGGCTTGCAGCCTATAAGAGACGCCGTATTTATGCTCAAAGCTCTAAGGAAGCTTCCCAATTAGTCAACAGAGTGCAACGTGGGCACTATCCGACTTCAGTGATGGTTTGATGGGGTATTATTAGCTATGAAGGAGTGACTGAGCCATACTTTTGTGAAAAAGGTATCAAAACATCGGCACAAGTGTATCAAGATACCATTCTTGAGAAGGTAGTGAAGCCCCTTAACAACACCATGTTCAATAATCAAGAATGGTCCTTCCAGCTAGACTCGGCGCCAGGTCATAAAGCTCGGTTTACGTAGTCTTGGTTGGAAACGAACGTTTCGGACTTCATCAGAGCTGAAGACTGGCCGTCGTCTAGTCCCGATCTTAATCCGCTGGATTATGATTTATGGTCAGTTTTAGAAAGTACGGCTTGCTCTAAACGCCAAGATAATTTGGAGTCCCTAAAACAATCCGTACGATTGGCAGTGAAAAATTTTCCCATGGAAAGAGTGCGTGCTTCTATTAATAACTGGCCTCAACGTTTAAAGGACTGTCTTGCAGCCAATGGAGACCACTTCGAATAAGCTTTAAATTGTTTTATATTTATGTATTAAACTACTCTCGGAGGAGGCCGTCTCCAGGGGTGGGGTGGTTTTGGCGGTGTCGCTCGATATTGCCAATGCGTTTAACACCCTGCCCTGGTCCATGATAGGGGGGGCGCTGGAACGACATAGAGTGCCCCCCTACCTTCGCCGGCTGGTGGGTTCCTACTTAGAGGACAGATCGGTCACGTGTACCGGACACGGTGGGATCCTGCACCGGTTCCCGGTCGTGCGCGGTGTTCCATAGGGGTCGGTGCTCGGCCCCCTTTTTTTTTATATCGGGTATGACTGGGTGCTGAGAGGTGCTCTCCTCCCGGGCCTGAGCGTAATCTGTTACGCGGACGACACGTTGGTCATGGCCCGAGGGGGGAGTTTTGCTGAGTCTGCCCGTCTTGCTACGGCTGGGGTGGCGCATGTCGTCGGCAAAATTAGGAGATTGGGCCTCGGCGTGGCGCTCAGTAAATCCGAGGCCATGTGGTTCCACAGGCCCCGGAGAGTGCCACCTGTCGATGCCCATATCGTGGTTGGAGGCGTCCGTATCGGGGTCGGGGTGCAGTTGAAGTACCTCGGCCTCATTCTGGACAGTCGTTGGACCTTCCGTGCTCACTTTCAGAACCTGGTCCCTCGTTTGTTGGGGGTGGCCGGCGCGTTAAGCCAGCTTCTGCCCAACGTAGGGGGGCCTGACCAGGTGACGCGCCGTCTCTATACGGGGGTGGTGCGATCAATGGCCCTATACGGGNTGTGGTGTGTGAGTTCCACCTGATGTGTTTACAATTTAGGTCGCCCGCTAGAATGATAGAGCTTCCCATGCCGAGCAGCGCCTCGATATCACTGCTTAGAACGATCTTATCCGGTGGAAGATAAGCGGACGCGATAACGATCGGCGCGTGTCCCGTCAGTGAGATTCGGCACACTGATGCTTCAATATTAGCGAGCGCGGGAGAATCGAGCGGGACGCAATGCAGGGGCAAAGTACAAGTCGTTCCTATGTCATTCCCGTATCAACTCTCATGGTATTAATTACGGTATTGGGTATTATTTTTACCGGTTAGTTGCGAGAGACAGTGGCTTAAAATAACGGCACCCAAGTCTTTATTGAAAACTAATCGGGACTTATTGGAACGAAGTTCCTTACGGCAGGCTTGGAGGGGATAGGGATGTTGCTGCGCGACCGAACTGAAAAAATGTGATAGTAAAACGGTAAGAAAAAATCCGTGGAAAAAAGTGCGTGGAATAAAACCGTTAAATGAGACGTGCGCAGGCGCGACAGTCACATACACAAGCGAGTAGTGTATAATACCTTTCTCTTTCTCCCTCTTTCTTTTCGTTCTCTCATCCCTTCTCTCTCTATTTTGTAATTATTTCTATTTCTATGTAATTTTATGTTGTCAAACAAAAATAAAGAGACATATTTTGTTATTTTAATTGATAATTTGAATTACGATTTTATTTTTATTTTACGTAATTATTTCCTAAAATACTGAATTTCGTAAATACTTTCCTGTACTTAAATAAAAACTAATCAGCAAAATTTAAGAGAAAAATCAAGAAAATAAACATAAAATTGAGCACGATTTTTTTTTGCAAATTGTGTCGACTCTACATTAGCCGAAGGAACTTCGTTCCTACCTGGTGTCCCACGACACCACATTTGCTTTTTATTTATCACGGAGGTCTTTTAGCATACATGTTTAATGTAGAAATTAAATATCAATAAAATAAAGTGCATAGGGCGGACCAAAAAACACTGTCAAAAAAAACGATTCCCAAATAAAATAAAACGTGAACTATTATTTGAAATTCGTCGAAAGTTCCAGAACTTTACGACAATTTTTATTCACATTTTATTCATTTGAAATATTTGTTGTTATATCGGGATAGACATAGTTAATTTTTATGCAACGTATTTTACTAAAATAAATAAGAAAGTGTCTTTTGTAAGCAAACCGATTTTTTTGGGAGGGATTTTTTTATTTTATCACGAGGCATCTTGAGACAAAACACCAAAACTTTATTTTAGTGATTTATTTCTTTAATTTCGTTAGTGGTCTTCTGTTGAGCACTTTTTTTTTGTTACGCAGTCTCGCTGCGTGATTTTTTGAATATAAATATGAAAAATTTCGGATATAAATATTAAACAACTTTTTTTAAATAAAATAAAGAAATTAATTGCGATGTCTAAATTTGTGCTGTATGAATGAATTTTTTTTTCAGTTTTCTCTTATGACACACTTTCGTAAGAAATTTATAATGCAAGTTAAATACCTTCAGTAGAGTGTGCTGGAAGCACATTAGCAATACAGACTACAAACAAGAACGTCTTTAACATTTTCACCAAAGAATGCTTTCTGAAGTGCTTATCAAGGCTATTCGCTGTTTTATAGTCGACGCTTATACAAGTTCGTGCACTTGTACAAATATATAAGTAAACATAATAATATTATGTTAAGGATGCTTTAGTAAATATTTAAATAAAAGAAAAATAACACTGTTTTTTTTTTTCGTTTTGCCATTTACATTTTCATGTGAACCTTTAAAAGCATTTTAAGCCGTTTTCTTTGATTTAAACATATTTTAAATTANAGACGCACAATCCCGCCGCCGTCGAGCGGGGGCCAGGGAGGCGGATCTCGCCCAAGCCCTGGCCCTCTAAGTGTTTCGGGTCCCCCTCACATGTCGGTCTGGGGACCGGCGAGGAGGGCCTAAGAAGACGACGTGCAAGCTGCTCTGCACGCGTTTTACGCAAGAGCATCCGGGTGATGGAAGGCCGGCTATCCTCGACCCACGCTGGTTCTGGCCCAGCGGGGTATTCCGTAGGGTAACCCACTTTAACCGGCGCCATCTAGGCGGGCTTCGGACAGTCTGCCGACCGAGAGGGCTGGTGGTCGTGGCGCCGACGACCGCCAGTCCGGCGTCCCGAGGGGGAGGGTGATGGGAGAGATGTGCTCCGCACTAAACGCTTCACATTCCCCCCTTTGCCTTGTCATGAGTTCTGTCTCATGCGAGGTTTGGACGTTGGTTGTTGAGCGACAGGAGGTTTTAGGCAGTTCGACTCTGACATACCCCGCCCAGTATCCCCAGAAAAGGTCGGAAGTCCGGCGATTTCCTCCTGACCAAAAAAATAAAATAAAAATGTATTAAACTAACAACACACTGTAAAAGTAATAAATGTTATTTGCCATAGATTTGTTTTTGTTTTCCTTTGTAACAGTATTTATGGCCAGACTAAGTACATAGTCGGAGCTCACCTTCAACTAACTTACCTGTTGACTTTATTTATATGTCTGGTTATTTATTATTTGTATATTTTTTAATATTTTTTTGATTCATTTACGTGTTTTCATTAAACGTGTTTACTGCACTAATAATTGAAAAAAAACTCTAGGTGGATATACCAAAAATATGAGGATACATATGTCTGAGTTGAGGAAAGCCGTGAACGTCACTACAATAGTTTTAAAACCGGATGAACTCTAAAATTGAATACGATTGGCTTTAAAATATGCGCATGAGGTAATAAAATCCTTAATATAATCCTTAATTCAGACGATAACTGTTTATTGATGACAAGCTATCTGATGAATGTGGCTTCGTCCGCGCGTCCAAGGAAAAGTGTAAGTATTTTTTAGATAATAAAACAGTTTCCCGTGGGAACGAGATGTTTTTTCGGGATAAAAAATCATGTCATTACGCTGTTTCGTCTCAACGTGCAAGATGAACAAACAAACAAACACTCCACGTTTATAATATTAAGTATGGACACAAATCGTATATGATCACGATCTTCATTAGTGAAGGTACGACAAAGAAGAAGAAGAAGAATGAATATCCGATTTGATTATGAAGCATCGGCAATGCAGTGAAGTACGATTTACCAAGAATGGACTTTCCAATTAGATTGGATTTTTCAATAATAGATCAAATACTATTTGTTATGGGCATGTGCATATTATAGAAATAAAAAAAAACTTTAAACGTTAAGTGGTTGCTGGGGCCCATAGACATCTACAACGTAAATGCGCCACCCACCTTGAGATTCTAAGTTCTAAGGTCTCAGTATAGTTACAACGGCTGCCCCACCCTTCAAACCGAAACGCATTACTGCTTCACAGCAGAAATAGGCAGGGTGGTGGTGCCTACCCGTGCGGACTCACAAGAGGTCCTACCATCAGTAATTACACAAATTATTGTTTTGCGGGTTTGATTTTTATTACACGATGTTATTCCTTCACCGTGGAAGCCAATCGTGAACATTTGTTGAGTACGTATTTCATTAGAAAAATTGATACCCGCCTGCGGGATTCAAACACCGGTGCATCGCTAGATACGAATGCACCGGACGTCTTATCCTTTGGGTCACGACAACTTTTGAAATAAGTAATCTGACCATAAATACTGTTACATAAATTAACATTTAGAATACTTAAAACACTTAACAAGCACTTTAAAACGGCGTAACAATAAGATTGCAGTGATCGCCTTGCACAAAGTGGGTATGGAGCCGTCGATATATTCCAGACACTTCAAAAGCTTGGTATTCGCGATATGTTCGTATATCGTACTATCAACAGATACAACAACACTTCATACGTCGAAGACCAGAAAAGATCGGGGCGGCAGCGTGTTGTTAGAAATACAAAGACGGTTAATGCTGTCAAAACCAGAATTCATACAAACCCCATTAGGAAGCAAAATCTCTTATCGCGAGAAATGAAGATTCCCGCCAAGACTCTGTCGCGTATTATAAAACAAGACCTGAAGCTCGGTGATGTACCTACAGGGCATGCACTTAATCAATCTTTACAATTAAAGAGAGCGGATCGATTAAAACGCCTTCTGTCGCGTTATACAGGGTAAAGGCACAAAAATATCCTCTTTACCGATGAAAAAATTTCACAATTGAAGAACACTACAATAATCCTTAATGATAAAGTGTAGGTACGCTCATAATTCTAAAGAAACGAGTGGTCAAAAAAATACAAGACGTGGTCATCATCCTGCGTCAGTTATGATTTGGTCGGGCGTGTTGTTTCTATTTTTACAATTTTCTTCGCTTTTCTTTATTTTGTATAGGGATCTAAATCTATGTTCGCCATCGAAATCACGTGAGACTCTTCCTTAAAATATCAAAATCTTAATCCCACTACCTACCTTGAGACATGAGGACGCCTGAATTGCATTTTGTGCCGGCGACTCATCCTTAAAACGGCCATACATGACTAATTCTCTACCGAAACAGGCAGGCCGATGGTATCGTGAAGTATCTACTCCGGTTTGATGAAAGAAATAAACTGACTTTGGGAGGCTTAATGATGGAAGAAAGATTTTGCACCGAGCGGGTGATTTTTCTCGGTATACCGACGATCCGAATGCTCGGAATATATGCAAGCTTTTCCCAGCCCCAGTGTGGTCGGAGCTCGGAGGCCCCAATCCGTGGTGGAGTCATGATCCAGGTGGCTGGCCGATCCTTTGGCTCGTCGTAGGACCGTCGAGGCGATTCGCCCGCTTCTTGTGGATAGGGTGAATCGTGACAGAGGATGCCTCACTTTCCGGCTCACGCAGGTGGTCACTAGGCATGGTTGCTTCGGTGAATTCCTGCACCGGATCGTAGCCGAGCTGATGGCAGAGTGCCACCATTGTGGTTGCGACTTGGACATGGCAGAGCACACGCTCGTCGTCTGCCCCGCATGGGAGGGATGGTGCCGTGACCTCGTCACAAAAATAGGGAACAACTTGTCGTTGCCGAGTGTTGTAGCACCGATGCTCGGCAGCGGCAAGTCGTAGAAGGCGATGCTCGAGATGGTGCACTCGCAGAAGCAGGCGGCGGGGCACGTGAGAGACGCACAAGCCCGCCGTCTTCGAGCGGGGACCAGGAAGGCGGATCTCGCCCTCTGGCCCTCTGAGTGTTTCGGGTCCCCCCTACATGTCGGTCTGGGGACTGGCGAAGGGGGCCTAAGAAGACGACGTGCAAGTTGCCCTGCACGCGTTTTACGCAAGAGCGTCTGGGTGATGGAAGGCCGGCTATCCTCGACCCACGCTGGTTCTGAACCAGCGGGGTATTCCTTAGGAGAACCCATTCTAACCGGCGGCATCTAAACGGGCTTCAGATAGCCTGCCGACTGAGAAGGCTGGTGGTAGTGGTACCAACGACCGCCTGTCCGGCGTCCCGAGGGGGAGGGTGATAGGCGAGATGTGCTCCGCGCTAAACATTCCCCCCTTTGCCTTTTCATGAGTTCTGTCTCATGCGAGGTTCGGATGTCGGTTGTTGAGCGACAGAAGCTTTTAGTCGGTTCGATTACGACATGCTCCGCCCGCCATTATTTTCATATAATATAATATAGAAGATAGATTAGTGATTGGTTTGATCATAAAAGGCATCAATTGCCAAAATTTCAAGTTTATAGACCTAGTGGCTAAGGCTTCCATGAATCAGTTAGTCAGTTAGGACAAGTAAATAGGTACATGTTTAATGTATAGATATGAAACCACAGTGCAATGACTGAGGGTGGGCCACAGCACGGGCCTAGCACGGCGACAGGATAGAGAAATGCGCTTTGTTTTCAGCATTAGGTAGCTACTGTGCCCCTGGTATTGCTGACATTCATGAGCGCCAAAACCATTAACCAGATGGGATATGCTCTTTTGCCTTCAAGGAAAATAAAAAATAAAAATAAAAACATTTAAAAATTATCATAAATATCGTTAATAATAAATAAAAAAAAATATTAAACCAGTTAGGTTTTGTTCTTCGCCTTTTTCGACCTCAAGAATTTTTTTGTATATAGTATTCGTAATGTTCAAATTTTATTAATCTAATTCAGTCTATGACTTAGACTTAGCAAAACTGTGCTTAGAACTCACAGAATATTACTAATATTAATATACTAGCGACCCGCCCTCGCTTCGCTTCGGAAACATTAAAACACACATGAAACCAAAAAAAAAAAAAAATTAAAAAAAGTAGCCTATGTTCATCAGGGACAGACAATGTTGGCTTCTAATGGAAAAAGAATTTTTCAAATCGGTCCAGTAGTTTCGGAGCCTATTCGAAACAAACAAACAAACAAATCTTTCCTCTTTATAATATTAGTATAGATATAGATATATATTTTTTGTTTTTTGATCATTTCGTAGAAACCATATTATAATTAAATTAATTCGTGGAAACCATATTTTGGGTTCAACACCTGCCACGCTAGGATACATAATATGAAGTCTTCGTCCCACACCTGTGACGTATACTATAGGCTCGAGATCAGCTCAAGGCTTACTGTGGCCAACTGAATCCCCGCAAGTCGTTCCCGCTGCCATTATAGCTTTTTTTTTAAGGGAATTTATGAACTGGTAACTAAGACCTTTAGGTCTTATTTTAATTTATATTCTTATTTTTATGAAAAATGATAAAATGGAGTGAAATGAAATGAAGATCATTAATTTGAGACATTAATGAACTGGGATGAAATTCAATGTAGTGAGTGAGATGAGATGATATGGGATGAAATATAATCTCAGTAAAATAGTGGTCATTTACTGAAATTTTTTCAGTGGACTTTTTGGAGGATCTCGAGAAGCTACGTCCAGCGGCTTTGTTTCATTTTCTCACATTTTTGCACTTTCACAGATATTAAACGGTTAATAAACCACCGTTATTACACATTTAAACCTGGAGTTTTAAACACTAAATAAACAAATAAAAGAAATCACACAACTTCACTCCTCGTCTTCCCGCCAAAAAGTCTGCCATTATAGCGCCGATTAGCAACATAATATAGCTGTACTGCTAATTCGAATCATGAATCGAATAATCGAATCATAGATTGGAATTCGCTATATTCAAACTAGGCCGCCGTAGATAGGTCTTTTTTGCCACGTACCATCCGGCTATGGAATGAGCTCCCCTCCACGGTGTTTCCCGAGCGCTATGACATGTCCTTCTTCAAACGAGGCTTTTGGAGAGTATTAAGCGGTAGGCAGCGGCTTGGCTCTGCCCCTGGCATTGCTGAAGTCCATGGGCGACGGTAACCACTCACCATCAGGTGGGCCGTATGCTCGTCGCCTACAAGGGCAATAAAAAACAAAAAAAAAAAAGATAAAATAATCTATAGTTAAAACGTCAACCAATAGCGGGATATATATTCTAATATACATGTATATAATTCTCGTGTCACGGTGTGCGTGATTGAACTCCTCCGAAACAGCTCGACCGATTTTCGTGAATCTTAGCGTGCATATTGGCCAGGCTAGAGAATCGGACAACATCTATTTTTCATCCGCCTAAATGTTAAGGGTGGTCCAACCCAAATTTTTTTTTTTTAATTTTAGACAAAAAAAATTGTTTTTATTTTTTTATGATACAACATACAAAAATACATACAACCCTAATTTGTCACCCCTCTACTCTCAACCCTTACTTTTTTATTTGTTAATTAAAAACTTAAATTTTTTTGGCAAGACTTTCATAAATATATAAAATTTCTTCTGTGCGTGTTTGTCACTGAACTCCTCCTAATGGTAGGCAGCGGCTTGGCTCTGCCCCTGGCATTGCTGACGTCCATGAGCGACGGTGACCACTTACCATCAGGTGGGCCGCATGCTCGTCTGCCTACAAAGGCAATAAAAAAAAAGCGGCTGGACCGATTTTAATGAAATTTTTTGTGTACCTTCAGGTGGATTCGAGAATGGTTTAGATTTACAAATCCGCCCGGCAGATGGCGTTGCAGTCGGTATATAGGTTATTTATCTTTCCTAAAAATAATTTATATGGCAAAGCAACGTTTGCCGGGCCAGCTAGTAGGTTTATAAAAACTGAAAGTTTCTTTATACTTTAAAAAGGAAACTTGGTTTATTTGAAACTTTTTTTTAAACACTAATTAAGATATTCGTCTTTTTAAGTGATGTGATGACAGGGCAGCGACTGGTGGATTCGAGGCATGAGGAATCCGGTGTGTTGACTGATTGAATCATTAGTGACATAATATCGTGGTTATTTATTGTACTGCATTCAAATTGAGTTAATGTTTCGTCTGAATGCACAATTTTCATGATGGCCTATAATAAAGGTGGCTCGTACGTCGACATTTTCGGAAGTCAGGGTGTTTTGCGAGTCCACCCGAATAGTCACCACAATTTCCCGCTTATTTCTGTAGCGAAAGAGTTAAATTACGATTTGAAGAGTAAGCTACCCACCAAAGTGAGCACAATACCAGGAGTACAGCCAAGTCACTGCTACAACATTATATCGACGCTTGAAAGACAAACATAACTAAGCGACAATGCGTGAACTTTACAATAGACTAATTTAAAGTTGAAATACCTGAAAAAAATTATATTATAACGAATATAGCTGTAGGATTGAAATTATTTTTTTATTTAATAGATCTAGAAATTTTTTTTTTTGCACATCGAATAAGGTTATTACCTATCATTTATGTACAAAGCAATTATTGTCGCTTAGTCACGTTTGCCTTTCAAGCGTCGATATAAAGCTTATTAGCCGTCGGAGCTCCGTGGTTCGTGAGGAACGTTGACCTACACGACGACCTGGGCCTCGAATCTATTCAGAAATACATGGAGTCAGCGTCGGAACGGTACTTCGATAAGGCTATGCGTCATGATAATCGCCTTATCGTTGCCGCCGCTGACTACTCCCCTAATCCTGATCACGCAAGAGCCAGTCACCGTCGACGCCCTAGACACGTACTTACGGATCCATCAGATCCAATAACCTTTGCACTAGACGCCTTCAGCTCTAACACTAGGAGCAGGCTTAGGGACCCCGGTAACCGTACTCGTCGAACTCGACAAAGAGTTCGCCGTGCAACCTAACCCATGAGTCAGCTCGCTGAGTTTCTCGCCGGATCTTCTCAGCGGGTCGCGATTCCGATCCGGTAGTAGATTAATTCGCGAAGCAGCTGCTCTTGAGCTGTTATGTCTCCTTCAGAGGCGCTCGGGTAACTGTTAGCAAATCCCACCCCTCCTGGCCGAGCCTTTGCTCCTGTCCTGGAGAAACTGGAAAGGCCTCAGGGCCACCAGTAATCCTTCAATCATAAAAAAAAAATAAAAAATTGCTTAGTTTTACATTAAAATGAAGCCTAGACTTTATGTTTCCAGGTACATAGGTGATATTCATTTTACTGATTTTTATCTATCAGGTCTATCTTTGGTGACCAAACAACATTAGGTTGACCAGGAGCTTGTTTATCCTTTTAAGTACAAAAAATTTACATTGCCGTTTTACAATACTGGCCAGTAAAACTACTTCGAAACGTATGACTGGCAATCAATCTTAAATTGAAATTAATTTTATTTACAAATTCAATCATTCGTTTATTGATTAATATTTTGTTTTCACTACATATTTTGAATATTTTTCATTAATATGTACACGATAAAATACGAGTAAATATGATCAATGCGGTGGACAAAAAAATAATTAAACACTATTGTTTTGGCACTTTTTTTATTTACATACAAATCACATGCTTATAAACTACACATACTAAAAACTTTTGAGATCTGAAAAAGAAAATAATTTTTTTTAAGTCTACTATACACAACATCATACATCATACAACGCAACCATAACTTTAAATCCTTCACAGAAAAAAACCTGTAAGTAGTTTTAACTCTTTCAATTAATACTACTTATTTGAATTATTTATTTATTATTATTTTAGTTATTTTATCACGCTGCTGTTAAAGTAATAGGTACGAGAAGTGTTAGGATGTATGAAATGACATTTTATTTTGACAGACGAAATCTGAATTTGTGAGTAAATATAATATGAGAATGTATGTATGTACTTTGCTATTAAAATAAAAGCCATTTTAATGTTAATTTCACACTTTTTGTAGTTAGAAATTATACGTTGTGTGGCACATCATGTAGTAAATAAAACAAAGCTATATTATAAACTTTCTCTGACTTTGTCGTATGATTTAGTTTACATCCTTACATCCCACCTTGCAGTAAGCGGTTACCGTTGTTCCCATATGATCGCCGACAATGCCAAGAGCGTAAGGATAAATAGATAACTGACATATTCACCTTTTTCCTATCAAGCTATAACACCGCTCAACACGGGAATGTTCCCGGATATAAGGTAGAAAATGAAAGGATGGTCAGCTTTGAAATGATGGTCACGTAGCACGTGTGGGTAACCAGCCCGTCTCTTCAGTTCGTCTGTGACAAAAGTTTAACATTAGTGTTCCTGAGAGTTACTTTACTGGTAGTAGGGCGTGTTGTGAGCCCGCATGGGTAAGTACCACCGCCCTGCCTATTTCTGCCGTGGGGCAGTTGCTGTACCTACTATAGGTAAAACTGGGCGTTAGAACTCGTGTCTTGAGGTGGGTGGCGGCTTTATGTTGTCGATTATTATGGGCTTCGGTAACCACTTAACACCACGTGGGCCACAAGCTCATCCATCTAAGCAATAAAAAAAAACACACACACACACACACACACACACACATACTCTCACACACAGACACACGCACACACAAACACACACATAAGAGACTAGCATCGACATGCTGCGGTTACTTTAGTGCAAGATATTTGGTATTCCGAGTCGAGGAAAACTATTATAATTATGTTCCCAGCACAATCACACCAGAGAAAGCCCTAAGGCGGGAAATGGAACTATGTTATTTAATTTAATCTTCTCATGTTATTGAAACACAATTGTGTAAAATTTGATTAACAAGACAAAATCCCTACCTCTTGAAGGTTCCGGTTCTATTTGGAAGCTGCTCATATCAAATATAACCGTCGATAAGGCTTTAGACACGTAAGTTGTTTCATCCTTGTTGTATACGTTATTTAATCCAGATGTTTTAGGGTCGAATACTTTAGTTACTTTCACAGTCTGAAAACAAACAATAAATATATATCAGCGAATAAACTAACTACACTTCTAACATACAGTTGTCGTGTATTTGAAACCCCTGTTCTTAGTCTTTTTATGGCGTCGTAGCTCTCAAACATATGTACCTATTTTAAAGGCTGATTTAATCATTGCTCTGTTTCATAAAATTCAATCTAGTCGCTTGAAGACCTAAATTTAAAGTTTTCTCTAGTTATATATATATATACAGCCTTTAAGGCTTACTGATAAATATGGGACGTCGGTACTTGGGCTTCGAATTGGGTGATCGTTGGAGCTTCTTCACTCATTTCAAAAATATTGAATGGCCAGCAGCGTCTTTATGTGAAGATGGTACGCTCTATATCACTGTAACCCTATATAATTCCGCCAACCAAAAATTGCGATGCTGAGACGTACATAGAGCGCTGTCATGGTAAAGGCGATACGAGGATCTTGCACCGTGTCCTGCGAGACGGTCGCGTACATTATGACCGGCCGCTTCCCAGTTTTGGTATTATCCGAGCGCAGAAACTACAATCTCAATGGGCCGTGTTAGAGGCCTGGTCACGCCGTCTGGCGGGCCTAACTGCTGTCTAAGGACCGTCGTCGAAGATCAGCAGTCGTTTCGCCAGTGAGTTGGTGAACTGCGATCGAAGATTGCCTTTCAGCTGATGCAGTTGATGACGGGTTAGATCTGTTTCGGCCTCTACCCAGCTCGGCGGTTAGTATTGACGATAAGAGTGCCACCATTCGGATATGACAGAACACACAATCGCTTCCTAATCTGCCTGAGAGGACTAGCGTACTGTCTTCGTCACTTGAATCGGACGAACCTTTTTGTTGACAGCCGTCGTAGTGGTATTCGCCACTAAAGTGTTTTGGAAGGCGATTCTCAACATCTTCCAGGTGGTGGACTCGGTGAAAGTAGGCAAAGAAGCGTGAGTTAGAGAGCTGTTCTAGCTTAGAAGAGGCTACCTATTTGCTCTTATCCAGACGACAAGAGAAAGGCTTACATAGATCTCTATCTCACTTTGTGATCCGCTTCGGGGTGACCAACAAGGTAGAGAACGCGCAGCCCTAGTGCGCCTCTTAGATTTTAACGCAGAAAGCGACCGATCGGTCAGGCGTCCTTAGGGTGAGCTGCACGTCTGGTTCCAGTATTTACCACGGCTACTGCCTCTACCCCTACCGGGTCCCGGGTGGGTATTGGATGTTCGACTAAGGAGTAGGGAAGTAGTTAGACGTCTAGGTCGCTGAAACCACCAGCTTCCATCTTCGGTGATTCCTGCTTCGTCGGGGGCAGTCTTATTTACCTTACGCGCTCCTATGTACCGGGATATCAAAGGAGATTCAGACCCCGGCCCAAAAATAGTATTTATTAAATGCCGAAAACCCATTCATATTAAATTTTATGCTAAAACGCCCGCTATTTTGAATACGTACGTCGTATTCACATGTACAGTGCAAGTGATAAAACCAACAATTTGGGTTTGGTGGAAAGGAACAAAGTAACCCGTATCAATAACAAATGTATGGTCGTCATAAAAATCGGTTGTATTTACTTCATCTGTTTGAATATATACAGTTTAATATACAACAACTATTTATTATTAAAATATGGAATTGTTTGAATTAATTTTAAACGCAACAGTTCTTTACCTTATCCAGAGTCCTCTTCATGTCCTCGGTATAACCTTCGGTTAGAATCGGTATGTGCAGATTAACAGCAGAAACCTGCCCTCCTTCTAGATTAACTACTGTCGACCTGAACGTTTTAGAATCTTCAAGTTTCTTAATAACGTCCTTTATGTCTTTGTGTGAATGTGGTAATACTAGGACGAGATATTGATTGTGTTTATCATTCGGTAGTCTCACGACCTGTCAAAATGATAAATATTTAAGGAAACGTTAAGTTCCATTTTTTTCTTCTTCTTTGGCTAACTTAGTGTAATGCCGAAACATTTACTTTAAATTTACAAAATTTTCAATTTTCAAATTTCAAAATTTCCAAAGCGACTAAACAAGTAACGACGCCGAAAAATGGACGTGTTTTGAAAATTGTGACACAGGTAATAAGCTGAATCTAAGAAAAAAAAACTGGACTATGAAGAAACATTTAATCTAACATGTCAAATTAGAAGTTTAACGGCAAGCAACGGCTTGGCTTTGCCCCTGGTACTGCTGAAGTCCATGGGCGACCATTCACCATTAGGTGGGCCGTATGCTCATCTGACCACAGGGGCAATAAAAAAAAGTCTTTACTATAAGGATAGGAGGATAGGAAGTGGAAGATTAGAATCATGACCGGTACGGAGTTAAGATGCTCGAAATTGCGGATGTTATAAAGGCTCTTTTAAAACTCCATACCGAGCCGCAGGAATGTTTCTTTTTCGAAATAGAGAATAATAGATAAAGTGATAAACAAATGTTACTTTATGTCATCCTAGTGATTATGCAAATATTATTATATAAATTTCAGATGATCGATTTTATTAGTTCTGATAACGTTGTGTTCATGAACTTGTATTATTTAGGTATTTATGCAGGATATTTGGTACGTCTGACGTGGTTTAAACAAGGTCCTAGTCTAATGACTATTTTCCCTCGGTATTCGCTGGAAGCTTAAAAGGCTATTCCAACTACGCGTTAACGGAAGATCCATCAAGAAACTCAGTGCGTCGTGTCTATGGATTAGTTCGCTCATCGAAATCTTCGTCGTAATCAACGAGGACGGTGACCGGTACTTAAAAGGCCAAAAAGGATGGAGAATGGATTCGGGGGATCCAACAAGTCATATTCCGGGCGACAGCGGCTTTGCGTTGCCCCATCGTCTAGGCCGGATGTGTAATTAATTACCTTCCGTCACGATAAAAGGGTTATCGTGTCGATCTGCTTTGTCGAAGTAGCGTTCTGACGCTACCCTAAAATACTTGCGTATCGTAATGACTTGACTCGAGTACACAGGACTATAAACGCTTTGTTAAAGGAATTATTTAATCACCATACCTTGGATTTTAAGTAGGAGCTATCCAAGTATGTAAGTGCATCTTTCTTGATTAATGTTTGTACTTTTTCACTTCTACCTTGTCCGGATCGGAAGTCTTTGTCTTTGACCTCATTAGGTCTGAAGTCGTTCAGCGAAAACTGTAAATGAATTCCACTTAGAAATCTAAATCTGTTCATTTTTACTTGTACGATTTGATATAGGAAATTTCCATGACTTTTTAAAGACTTATTTATAAACAATCTCTCAAACGGCTCACCTGGTGTTATGTGATTACCAAAGATTATAGGCGTCGCAATGTGAGTGCCGCCATCTTAAATCATGAGGTTTAAGCCTCAATTGTCTAGTTCGGCTGCCCCTCCATTTAAACCGGCAGCGTGGCAGTACCTACCCTTACGGATCACATGACGTCCTTCCACCAGTAATTACGCTCATTATAAGTTTAATATTGATTATATGATATTATGCCCTCATCGTCGGAGTCATTTGTGAGTATGTGGTAAGTACATATTTCATTAGAAAAAATAATACCAACCTACTGGATTTGAACCCCAGCAGTCGCGTCGCTCGATACGAGTACACCTGACCTTTTATCGTATGGGCCAGGACGAATTCTCAATAAAATCCAGATTATAGCGAAGGTTATAATATAATTTATGTGGTAATTTGACCACCAAGCCTGACTCCAGACATTTTGAGAATTAAGAGAAAAGGGTATGTTGAACTGTGCCAGAAATTTGATTCCTAATATTTTTGCAAGCCTGGCATAGGTTTAGTATCCTAAAGCACTTACCTGATAATATTTACCGTTGACTGACAGGAGATTGGTGGAAGGATCAATCATACCGGTGTTGAAGTTTTGAATCCTCTTGTTTGAATGCTTAGCAGCCTGAAAATTACGTAAAACATGTAATACGAATCGCCTTAATGTCAAAATTAAAACTTCGTTTCGGAATTCTGTAATGAATTGAAGGAAAATTCATTTCGGTGATGATGTCAAAACTTTGGGTCTTTGTTTTATAATGGTTTGGCTTTATAATGAGATAAAAACAACTCCCATTATACGGATTCCGTTGTAAGGAACAAACTTTATTATTATTTTCAATTGATTATTAAATGAAACAAAAGGACCGAACTTAAATCAAATCCCAACGAAAAAGCGGAAAACAACCTAGGTAGTAAAGGTATTGCAGATGACAGGCTTTTTCGGTATCGGCAACGACCTCTGGGCACCCTGTATAATGATAAAATATTATGTGATCACTATATTATACTCACATAATTATTTATTTCTCTCGTTGCTCTAGATGGATTACGGAAATCAATGTTCTGAGCTTCGTCCTTAAATATTACTCTAGTGTCCTTTTTGAAGTCCTCGCTGAGTTCGGGAGATAGCTTCGCATATATCTTGTCAAACGTAAATTGTTTATTGACACCGATGTTTCTGATGACGCACTCAATCTGCAAGATTTTAGATGATGAAACTAGTTCCTTTTCTATTATTTTACTGTCCGAGCACGCTCAGTCTACTATAAAGTATCTGCATGAATCGATAAACCTCCTGTGAATACGTCCTACCACCACCAACAATCACCCAAACATGTAAATTTCATTTTTTTACAAAATGCTTTCATCATAATTTACTCGATCGCCTTGCTGGTATAGTGGTTAGTGGCTCTAAATAATATAACTACAATGATTCTCCACCAAACTCAGTACCTTTTAATATAGATTTATGGTATGCGGCATCTGCCTGTACTTTTTTTGTCTCGAATTTTTATTCCCAGTGCCCATAAAGCAGAAAGAGAATCTTACTTAGCTCGACGAGCAAGGGGGACATTTGTTTATTAGAATATTATAACAAGATCTCATGCGGTGAATAACGGCACTCAAATTATCAAGTCTAAGGACTCCGATAACTACACCAGAACTCTCAGGTTCGGAGCCTTTCTAAAGAGAAAAATCTAACCAGTTCTTCTTAAAGAGCTGAAAATGTAATCTTTGTTCAAATTTTATTAATAAACGGTGGTGGTAGGGCTTCTTGAGAGCCTGCACGAGTAGGTATCAACACCTTTTTTTGTCTTGAAGGAGTATTGCACGGTAAAAACTAAGACTCAGAACTCATATCTCAAGGTAGATGGGTCATTTACGTTGTTGATGTCTATGAGCCCTGGTGACCACTTAACACAAGGTGGGCCGTGAGCTCGTCCACCTATAAAAAATAAAAATAAAACCGCAAAAGTGCTCATTTTCCGCGGTATTTAATCTTGCAATCAATGCAAAACAAAAGCGTACAAGTATTTCTACGTATTAATAAAGTCTTACTTCTTCCTTGTTCCGTAAATTAAGGAAAGTCATAATTTCTTTATAAGCCGGACCACTCGAATAAGAAGCTAGCTGCGCTAATAAGTAGAATGTTGAAAGACTGGATCCTACTACCGAAAAACCGGTATTTTCAGATACTAATTCCTGAAATATACAATTTTCTTTTTAATATTTTTTTACATATTTACAGAAATAAGTGGGAGTTGAGAAGGCTACAGAAATTTATTAAAAACAAAACAAATCCCAACGCTAGATAAATAATATATGATACGTTGTCAAAAATTTGCCATAAAAAGGACCAAGAGAAGATAGTCTATTTATTTAATTAAAATATGGTATGGATAGTAGTAATAACTTATCAAAATACTTACAGTTAAGTACTTTCCGTTATAGGCAATAACAGCCTCTTCAAAACGTTTCTGTGCATCTGGACACTCAGCTTTAGGAACTGTAGACCCTGAAGTGGCGTATTTCATTGTTGAATTTCCTGTTACCATAAATAAAAATATGTACTCTCTAAGCTTGCACGCGATAATTGCAAATTATGCAACGCAACATAATTGGCTGTATGTTACCGGACTGGAAGAGCATCACCCAATGAAGGTATCTATGATTTTCACAAAATCGATGAGCATATATTATTACATAGGGAGAAGGGATATATGAGGAAAACGGAGACGACGAGTGCAGTATTCTATATATACCTAGTCAGGTAATAAAATCTGTCACATGTTTAATGTAAAATAATTGAAACAAGTTTATTCGTTATGTAACCATTCATATACCAAAATGAACTTAACAAAACATAGATTCTTATGACACTAAAGTTTATTCAAAATGACCTCCGTGATTTTGAATACAGGCCTTCAATCTGCGCGGCCAGTCGTCTATCGCAGCACGAACGAGGTCCATGTAAATATCGGCGGCTGCCTTAATCAAGGATGTCTTAAGTGACTCCAAATTGGGATGAGGCTTTGAGCACGCCTTTTCCTCCAAATGTTGCCATATCTTGTAATCTAACGGATTCAAATCTGGACTGGAGGAGGGCCAGTCTTCGTGCCGGATGAAGTCTATTTCACGCGCCGCCAGCCAGTCTTGTGTGCTCTTCGCTCTATGAGCTGGCGCCGAATCTTGTTGGAATACCCAGTGCCTGTTATTGAACATGGTATGAGAAACAGGTTCCACAAGGTTCGTTAGGACTGTATTTTGATACACAACTGCATTCGTTTTTACACCTTTCTCACAAAAATGTACCTCTGTTAAGCCCCAATAAGAAACTCCCAACCATACCATGAGCGAGGATGGAAAATGACCTCGTTGGACACGCGGAATACGGTTGCTCGCTTCTTCACTACTGTGTGCGTACACCTTATCATTTTGTTTGTTGTAGCTCTCTTCTACGGTAAAAATTTTTTCATCCGAAAAAAGAATTTCCCGATATTTTTTTCCCGCGTACCGCTTCAACAAAGCGCGGCATCTCTTCAGTCTCAGGTCCATTAGACGAGCATTCAAACGATGTCCTGTTTTTCTTCGATATGCCCGAAGCCCTAAGTCTTCATTTAACACCCTTTTCACCGTGGTTCTGCTTAACCCCATCTGAAGGGCCAACAGTTTCTGCTTACGTTTGGGATTTCTTTGAATTCGCGCCTTCACAGCTTTTATCACTGCTGGAGTCCTAACAGACCGAGGGCGACCACTTCTTGACCTGTCATCTACACTAGAGTCTTCATTGTATCGTTTGATGGTACGATAAACGAATCTTTTGGTTATATTCAAAATTTTCAGTATGTTAAAATTTTGAATTGGCGCGTAACCGTAACGATGCAACGCAATAACTGCAACACAGTCTTCTTTAAGCGTCCACTCCATATTTAAAAATGAGTAAAATTCTAAAAAGTATACATTTTTATTTTCATGAACAATTCGAAATTCGAATTCAATAAACTTTTTTGTGGCCAGCATTCTAAAAGAAAAGTTTTTACTGTGTGACAATACTTATGACCTGACTAGTTATATACATATTATATTCTATATATATATATATATGTTGTGAAAGGCTATTGAATTCACCGATTCACCTTGGTATTTAAATAAGGGCTCCTGTGAAGCAATCGTGCGTAGAATTGAATTGGCCAAGTACGCCATATTCCATCTTACAAAACTTGGGTACACAAGAACATATCGCTCCGCTCAAGATGAAGACAAAACTAATGTGCACTCTCGTCGTCTCCATTTTTCTCAAAAAGCCTAAGATCTGCAAGCCGCAAACGGTTTGTTGCATTACAGATGTGGTGCTGAGGTAAAATGCTGCGGATTCCATAGACTGTATATCGGACCAATATATTTAAACTCGCTAAGCTCCAAATCAAAACAAGTATTTCTAGTATCTGCACCCTAAAGCGAATCCTAGAATAATTCGGACACATTGCTAAGAAAGACGAAAATAATCTTGAAAAACTGGCGATTACTGGTAAAATGGATAAAGAAAGTGGAAGAGCAGCCCAATGCTTTGGTCTGACCAAACTTGATTCCACTGTAAACAGTTCTGTCCGAGTAGCCGAAGACCGGATAAGATTCAAAAACATCGTGAAGATTAAATTAATGGATGAAGGTGGTCATGGTTTTTTTTAATAGCCCGAGCAGGCAGAGGAGTGTCCACCTGATGGTAAGTAGTTACCGTCGCTCATGGACGTCAGCGATGCCAGGGGCAGAGCCAAGCCGCTGCCTACCGCTTAATTTACTGGTGGAAGGACCTCTTGTGAGTTTACTGGTGGTAGGACCTCTTGTGAGTCTGCACGGGTAGGTACTACCGCCCCGTCTATTTCTGCCGTGAAGCAGTAATGCGTTTCGGTTTGAAGGGTGGGGCAACCGTTGTAACTATACTGAGACCTTAGAACTTATATCTCAAGGTGTGTGGCGCATTTATGTTGTAGATATCTATGGGTTCCAGTGACCACTTAACACCAGGTGGGCTGTGAGCTCGTCCACACATCTAGGCAATAAAAAAATAAAAAATTAAAATACTCTCCACAAGCCTCGTTTGAAGAAAGACATGTCATAACGCTGAGGAAACACCGTGGAAGGGAGCTCATTCGAAAGCCGGATGGTAGGTGGCAAAAATGATCTTTGGAAACGCACTGGGATGAACGCAGTGACTCCAGGTAGTATGGGTGAACTCTACTGCGGTGGAGAGCGGTGCGATGCTAAAAATGAGATGATGGTATTATCTCAAACAGACACAGTACAAAATACAGAAAGAACCGAAGTCCCTCCGCAGACCCAGAGGTTCCAAGTGATCCGGGAGAATGGTATTATCGACAATCCGAAAGAATCTCTTCCGTATGGAGTCAAATGAATGTAGTTAGTATTTGGGAGCCCCGGCCCAGAGGTGGGATCGGTACTCCATACGAGGCCGGAATGTGCTTTGTTGAAAGCAAAATTCTTTGTCCAGGGGTGAAGTACCGCTTCACTCTGTTGAAGACCCCAGCATTTTTGACGCCAGGAGAAGGAGGGATTGTTAAAATTACTATTCATATAATTTATCCATATAGTCGATGAACTTTTTTTATCAACGTGTATGTAACTACAATGGTTATTATTTGCCTCATTCCAGAACTAATCACGATGAATACTCCCTTAATGTACGGAATGTGTAATAATAGACATTTATTTATTACGCTATTGCATAGCTTCTATCGCGGGCCTTGAGCGCGGCGACTGAATCAAAAAATTCGGTAACGAAAATAACCTGACATCCCCACTACGCCTACTATGTAGCTCGCGTTCAACACATTCACACGTTGCGCTTGTGTAGTGTTTGTGAATAAGCGTGCGGCGTGACGTCGCATTGCCGCATGCACATCATGAAAAGTCTGCCCATCTCTCCCTCGCGCGGTCTAGGTTATGAGTGTGAAGGGGACACTTAATAATAATAATAATAGTAATAAATATTTACTGACAACCACGCCACGTTAATTAGTCCCGTGGTAAGTTCGTAAAGAACTTGTGTTACAGGTACCAGATAACGGAAATAAAAGTAAGATTTTTATTATACACATACATATATTTAATATACATCCATAACCCTGGAAAAGACATTTTTATATTACTCATAAAAAATATCTTCCCTTGGCGGGATTCGAACCCGCGACCACCTTGTGTAGTGATCATGTCACTTACCACTACACCAGACGGCCGTCAATAATATAATGTTTTGCTTTGGTTAATGTTTATAAATATAGCGTGGTCTTATTTTATTGTTGTTGTTGATTGTTTTTGCTTTTTTTTTCTTAGTTTCTTAGATGTTTGGACGAGCTCACAGCCCACTTGGTGTTAAGTGGTTACTGGAGCCCATAGACATCTACAACGTAAATGCGCCACATACCTTGAAACATAAGTTCTAAGGTCTCAGTACAGTTACAACGGCTGCCCCACCCTTTAAACCGAAACGCATTACTGCATCACGGCAGAAAGAGGCGGGGCGGTGGTACCTACCCGTGCGGACTCACAAGTGGTCCTACCACTAGTTTTAATATTAAATTATTATTGTCGATTTATAATTGCATAAGTTGATAAAAAATGCTATGCAATAGCTTTACCGCGGCAGTCTCCGAGTGCCACACGTGTTTTTGTTTTGCATCTTTGTATTTATTTAGTAACATTTCATAATAACTAAGTCCATATCATTTTTTTGTAAATAATATGCCGTCTCTACAGATTAAGTTTCCTATCTACCACTACATTGTAACGTAAACCTTTTTTTTTGTTATAACCAGGACAATCTGGAAAAAATGTTTCCTAAAGAAAACATAGCTTAAATTACAATAAAGTTGACCTTTCACGTATTCATTCATAAAGTAATAAATAAATTGTAACCTATTTAAGAAAGAGCTGCAAACAGAAAATTTCTTCCTTCCGTTTTGACACCGGTCTAAACCGGAAGATTGGTAGGGATGATACGGTTTTTTTCAAACAAACGGTTAAGTATTTACTGAAATTTTACTATTGTGTTTTTTTTATCTTTTTTTTATTGCTTAGATGGGTGGACGAACTCACAGCCCACCTGGTGTTGAATGGTTACTAAACGGTTTAAAGGTAAACCCGGAGCTCATAGACATCTACAACGTAAATGCGCCACACACCTTGAGATATAAGTTCTAAGGTCGCAAGTATAATTACAACGGCTGCCCCACCCTTCAAACCGAAACGCATTACTGCTTCACTGCAGAAATAGGCAGGGTGGTGGTACCTACCCTTGCGGACTCACAAGAGGTCCTACCGCCAGTAATTACGCAAATTATATTTTTGCGGGTTTGATTTTTATTACACGATATTATTTCTTCACAGTGACAGTCAATCGTGAACATTTGTCGAGTGCGTATTTCATTAGCAAAATTGGTACCCGCCTGAGATTCGAACACCGGTGCATCACTCAACACGAATGCACTGGACGTCTTATCCTTTAGGCCACGACGACTATACACTTCATACATTATTACATTATTACACTTCATATGTTTATCTACATTGGTGGACTTCATGCTTAAGGCATTCTCTACCAATCGTCCAAAGGTCTTAAACATACATACAAATATATATATGTATATACATATCCCAATAAAGGCAGTAAATAAATGAAACACATAGTATATATACAAAAAAATACACACACTATAATATATACAATTATATTATGTGAATTATATATATATATATATATATATAATTCATATTAGATATAGGGAGAGAAATTTCCCTCAGAAATTCAATGTGTTTTTAAGAGGTTGATGAATGATTAACTATAGCATAACTACGCTTAATACGATGACTGGAAGCGGTTATTTATATTGGATTTGATTAAATTTACATAATAATATGTACATTTCTTTACATAACAAAAAAAAAACAGCTATTTATGCAAATGAATAAATTTATTATATTATTCACGTGCGAGTTTCGTATTCTTTTACGATTGTCACGTTCCGTATGATATTATTTTTTATTCTAATTAATCAAACTATTGTTTGTTGTTTGTGTGTGTGTTTGTCAAATTATTGTTTATTGATCCAGGTGGCATTAAATGAACATAATATTTACATACATTCGATTTGTTTTGATACACAATTACGTGGAACGGAAAAAATGTTTTTTTATGATGTCATCTAATAATATTAATTGATAAATATGGAGGCTTCTAGAACTACAGCTAGAATTAGAGCCTTGAAATTATATAATGTATTAAATTATATAGACTTAAAATTTTGAAATTAAAACAATATTAAAAAAGCATTGCACATGTTTAAAAAAAAAAAATTAGTATAATAGTTACTACGCACGAAAATATTTTTTTTGTCTGCTTTGTAAATTTGATTTACTTCATCAACCAATACTTTTCGATCGTGATTTTTGTCATCTTATAAAAAAAAGGCAATCGTATTAATAGTCACTTCAGTCTTTATGTTCAGGAATACTCTAATTAACATTTCAGAAAGAGCTATACCAATCTAAATAAAAAAGGATAATAATTCAGGCTTCGCGGGCTTAAGTTGCACGTTATCTGTCATTTAATCTATACATATTTTGAAGTCGTCGTGGCCTAAAGGATAAGACGTCCGGTGCATTCGTATATAGCGATGCACCGGTGTTCTAATCCCGCAGGCGGGTACCAATTTTTGTAATGAAATACGTACTTAACAATTGTTCACGATTGACTTCCACGGTGAAGGAATAACATCGTGTAATAAAAATCAAACACGCAAAATTATAATTTGCGTAATTACTGGTAGTAAGACCTCTTGTGAGTCCGCACGGGTAGGTACCACCGTCTCGCCTATTTCTGCCGTGAAGCAGTAATGCGTTTCGGTTTGAAGGGTGGGGCAGCCGTTGTAACTAAGTATATTGAGACCTTAGAACTTATATCTCAAGGTGTGTGGCGCATTTACGTTGTAGATGTCTATGGGTTCCAGTAACCACATAACACCAGGTGGGCTGTGAGCTCGTCCACAAATCTAGGCAATAAAAAAATATATACCTATATATACCTAGTCAGGTCATAAATTCTGTCACATGTTTAATGTAAAATAATTGAAACAAGTTTATTCATNTTTCTCTGATAGAGGTAGCTGATGATATAAGGAGTAACTTAGGCTACTTTTTTTAGACTAGCTTCGCCCCGCGGCTTCACCCGCAGTTATGGTCGTACCGCGCGCAACATGGCGGGACTCGCCTATCAATAATAAAATTTAATGTTTCCGAAGCGAAGCGAAGACGGGTCGCTAGTATTCCATAAAAATCCTTTTTTTTGTATTTTATAATCGGTCACCCAGTCCTGAACTAGATCCCCTTCTACTACGAAAATCAGAGATATTCTTGAAATATATACTTTTATATGTTTAAAATATATACATATATAGGTTTTTTTCCTACCTAAGCTGAGAGCCTTGAGAGGCTATATCAGCGTAGCCTTAACTAGTAGGTGAGCTCACGGGCCTCAAACCTGATGATGTTGCAAACACGAACCCACGGCAAGAGCCGTGCTTTGCAGAATCTACCACCGGACCGGAAACGCGACCCCCTGAGCAGATCCGACGAGAAACTCAGTGGGCTGTATCTGAGGGTTAATTTACTCGTCGAGCCCTTCGCCACAAGCGACGGGTTCGACGAGGACGATGACCGGTGCTTGAGGTACCTAGAAGCACCGTTAGTGGATCGGTATAGGTATTAAGCACCCGGACAAAGACAAAATAAACTTGTTCGTCCAACGAATCGAAACCGTCGCCCTTGCCCAGTACTCTGGGTTGGTACTACTTTACCGCGATGATAATCGTGTAGTATTTATGTTAAGAAGGAACCACTAACTACAATTTTTGAACTATTGCGATGGAAAGTCTAGAATAAAATTCAAAGATTTCAAAGATTAACTGACCTGTTTCCATCGGTTCTTCTGTTGTATTTTCTGAAAAAGTTTATTATTTCATTAAGATTGGCGAAGCGCCCCTACTACTACTGCTAATACAGGCTCTAACGTCCTACTGGAAGATAATGTAATGATTTTTTTGATTATCTTATTCTACTGCTCCATTAATATAGGCGCTACGTAGATGTGGCCAACGTTTTAATGTGTTAAAAACAAATGGCATTATTAATGGCGTTAAACGTTAAGCAATAACTCGAGTGTCGGTTTTTTGGACACATCAAAGGGTTTTAGCGTGTAGTTAGTTTAGCGCGCTATTAATAATCGATGTTGACTACATTTAGGCTAAGTTCACATGACCGCGCGGTACAAGATCAATCTAAGCAGTGTTTATTGTTCACATATTACACACACGCGGCACAGGTTCTGCAAAACTGTATCTACCTGTTCAGCTGATCTTCGCGGCTTGAGATGGACAGACGCACAGATCAAAGAAAAATGAGTACTTAGCGCAGACGATAATATCGCGTCTATCGATTTTAAATAGTTTTTAACGCAATCATATAAAAAATCAAAAGATGCAACTGACATCCTAAAGTAGGTAGTTAAAAAAATTTTATTCGTGTAGTCTCAGGTCGGGATATAAAGTTACAAACAGGCTTGAAAAAAGTCTTTTAATTAAAATAGCATGCACCCAGTATCATCTTTGTCTTCTTCTCCGACGTCTCAGTTTTCGGTATAAAATTAATAAGCAAATTGCTTCCTCCACGTCCATTCTCAATCAATGTTGATGCCAGACTCTCGGGCGTACATATTCTGTCATGTGAACGCTTCCACCGCGCGGTGACGCGCAGTACCGCGCGATCATATTATTATGAACTTAGCCTAACGCCGTCTCACTCTATCGGATTGTTAGAATTGAAACTAGGAACTTCTTTTTAAAAAACACTTTTAATACTCCCTAGACTAAGTTTATATTATTTGTAGGGAAAGTGAGGAAAACTCGGTATACGTCCCACTCTGATGAAAGTCTGACCCGAACTGCTTTAAAAAGCTAGCTAGAAATCATCATCGGGAATAAATGCTGATGTTGATGTTTGGTAAGCATTATTGTATTCTATGTAGGGATATAACAGGACGCGCGCGCATAGCAAGGACGAGTGCACTTTGTTTTAGGCGGGAACTGCATTTAGGTACATACGACAACAACAATGGAGTGGTCAAATGAAAAGGCGTTAGAATTTTATTAAAGCCGTGTCGTTGGAATTCAAAGCTGCAATCCCACATTCTCTCTTTTTAAATTGCATAAATGCATAAAATAATTTATGACGCTCATTGTCGCAACTAGTGTAGCTGCTTCAAGCTCCATTGTGAGTGTTGTGTATTAACGCGTAGTTCGCCATTAACAATAACGTTAGCGCTTAGAAAGGTGGAGCAGTAGCATTAGACAATAACATCGAATCAATAAATAATCGATAAATCAATGAATGCGATGCCAATGACATTCAAGTAACTAATAAAAGACAATCAAGTCCACTGCTATTAATTCAACTATAAGTAAGCTTACATTCAGCGCATTTTCTTAGTCTGATCAAAATATTTAGCTAATATACAATGTATTATTATATTAACTTACCTTCACTTTCTCCTGGAGTTTCTTCGGTTGTGGGTGCTGTAACCAATGTTTTAAGTATCTTTGAACTTCAATTATATACATAAGTTAATTGACTAAAGCGTTGATATTGTCAAGAGCACGTATGGTAGTCGTTGAATAAGACTTTCATTTGATACTGCTAATCATAAAATTAGTTAAAATAAGGCTTCTTTATTGCCGTGCTATGTTCCAAGTTTACATTTTATTTAAAAAAACATGTTTTTTTTTAAACAGACGAGTAATTATACTTTTTTCGTCTTAAATCTTACCCGTTATAATAACGTTTTTTAATGTATTTTCAAATGATTATGTCCACAAACAATAATGACAGTATTTTAATAGCGAAGGATTAAACATTGTAACTAACCAGTCGAATCAGTTGTAGTTTGTACGATCATTGGTTGCACCACTGTTGACATGTTTTGTTCTAAAAAGAAATAAAGAACATGACAAACAAAATTTCAAGTCGTCGTGGCCTAAAGGATAAGACGTCCGGTGCATCGCTCAAAACGAATGTTCGAATGAACGTTCGAATACCAGGCGGGTACCAATTTTTCTAATGAAATACGTACTCAACAAATGTTCTCGGGTCCTCGACTTTCACGGTGAAGAAATAGCATCGTGTAATAAAAATCAAACCCGCAAATTTTAACTTGCGTAATTACTGGTAGTAGGACCTCGTGTGAGTCCGCGCGAGTAGGTAATGCGTTTCGGTTTAAAGGGTGGGGCAGCTGTTGTAACTATACTTGAGACCTTAGAACTTATATCTCAAGGTGGGTGGCGCATTTACGTCGTAGATGTCTATGGGCTCCAGTAACCACTTAACACCAGGTAGGCTATGACCTCGTCCACCCATCTAAGTTACAAAAAAAATTACACATAAAGAGAGCATTAAGTAAGGAAAAAAAAATAAGCTGGCAGTTTCATTTTAATACGAAGAAATCTGAATGTTTTAACGGATCTAGCTTGGATCTAACGTGGGTTTGTCAGTCACAGGTTTCGGAGTAGATGGCGTCATAATGATTTATAGAACACAAGAATAACAGTTTAAAAAATGGCCGGTTTAGTTTAGATACGTGGAAACTTTCACTGTAACATGATTACTTACCAGTTGGATCTGAAGTAGGTTTATCCATTACAGATTTATCTGTCGTCGATGCCGTAGATGCTATAACAAAAGAAAGCGATTACATTATACTGTATAATGACTAAGACGGCATTTGTCAACGTTTTTATGGAAATTTACCACTTGGATCTGAAGTGGGTTTATCCGTTACAAATGTATCGGTCGTGGATGCGGCAGATGCTATAACAAAAGAGAGCGTTTACATTAATCTGTATCATTACTAAGACGGCATTTGTCAAAATTTTTATGGAAACTTACCACTTGGATCTGAAGTAGGTTTATCCGTTACAGATTTGTCTGTCGTGGATGCGGCAGACGCTGTAACAAAAGAGAGCGTTTACATTACCCTGTATCATTACTAAGACGGCATTTGTCAACATTTTTATGGAAACTTACCACTTGGATCTGAAGTAGGTTTATCCGTTACAGATGTATCGGTCGTGGATGCGGCAGATGCTATAACAAAAGAGAGCGTTAACATTAACTTGTATCATTACTAAGACGGCATTTGTCAAATTTTTTATGGAAACTTACCACTTGGATCTGAAGTAGGTTTATCCGTTACAGATTTGTCTGTCGTGGATGCGGCAGATGCTATAACAAAAGAGAGCGTTTACATTACCCTGTATCATTACTAAGACGGCATTTGTCAACGTTTTTATGGAAACTTACCACTTGAATCTGAAGTGGGTTTATCCGTTACAGATTTATCTGTCGTCGATGCGGCAGATGCTATAACAAAAGAGAGCGATTACATTACACTGTATCATTACCTATACGGCATTTGTCAACGTTTTTATGGAAATTTACCACTTGGATCTGAAGTGGGTTTATCCGTTACAGATGTATCGGTCGTGGATGCGGCAGATGCTATAACAAAAGAGAGCTTTTAAATTACACTATAACATTAACTAGACAAACATTTTCAACGTTGTGGTGGAAACTTACCACTTGGATCTGAAGTAGGTTTATCCGTTACAGATTTGTCTGTCGTGGATGCGGCAGACGCTGTAACAAAAGAGAGCGTTTACATTGCCCTGTATCATTACTAAGACGGCATTTGTCAAAATTTTTATGGAAACTTACCACTTGGATCTGAAGTAGGTTTATCCGTTACAAATGTATCGGTCGTGGATGCGGCAGATGCTATAACAAAAGAGAGCGTTTACATTAA